GGGGGGGGGGGGGGGGGTGAGACAGGGGTTGCAACTTCCTCGGAGGAAATTCCACAGATCGCTTTTTTAAACGACGACGACCCGAGCTCCGAAAATATACCTTGCTGCCTGCAACGGATGAGTAGTCCCAGCGTATTGGACAGTGCTTTTGCATTACTATAAACCCCAGTTTCCTTGATTGCTGAGTTGAAAGTAGGTGGCAAAGTACACTCGCTTCCGAATACATACATAGATGACCTCTCGACAATATACGTTTTTGCTTGTTGTAGCAGCGCTAGTAGAGCAAAACTGTATAAAAAGATGAACTTACCCCATCCAACTGCTTGAAGTTCGAATTTTTACAGATACTGGAAGCCAAATGAATTTGATTTGGTAACAGGAAGAGGCAAATGTTCAATTTTAGTCACATTTATCCTGAATATCCGAATGCGCAACTTTAAAAAATTAATGAAGGCAGTGCTCCACACACAATCGCTAATGCTGATCGATGGGAAAAAAAATACTGTTCATTTCAACGCCAACAAAATCGCAAAAAAAAAAAAAAAAATTCGTTCCTAGATAACTAAAAGAGGAAAAAGTATTGTTTCCTTTGCGAAAAGAAATGAATTCGCGGTGCTACAATCGCAAAGGTCGTTTCCCGAAAAAACCTAATGAAATAGACTAGTATTTAATACATTAGTTTATGAAAAATTGTAAAACAGAAAACAGGAAATTTTAACAAAATAACAGTGGGTTTGCCTGGATCAATGCAGCTAAAGCTTATCACAGAGTACAGCTTTTTTTGGGAATCAAAACAAAGCTAGCACTACACTTCAGATATCAATTCGCTGCGCAAATTTATGCATTCTGTTTGGCTAGTTCTTCCGCCCTTGCAACCACATCATCGATTCCACCTTGCATGTAGAATGCCACTTCCGGTAAATGATCCATTTCACCTGAAACAAAGAACCGAAACATTTCTTACCAATTTTATTAATTTTAATTTCAATTTCAATAATTTCAACTTATTTTTCCAATTTCCAATTCCAATTACCAATTTATCAATTTATTTAATTATTATTTATCAATTTATTCCAATTATTTATTTCAATAAATTACCAATTTATTATCAATTTCAATAATTTTACTAATTTTCAAATTCCCATTTCCTACCTTCCTTTTTGACTCTTCTTAGTCCATAACATGTTAATATACCTTTCTATTATGCTTTCTATGTCCATAAGTTAACGTTAGTCATCAGCTTGTAAGTGGCCAGAGTCATCAACAGCCTTACCAATGCGCAATTCATGTACTATCCCTTGGGCAACTTTGGATTTTCTCCATTTCCCATGCAGAAAGAATGCAGAGAGGGTTTTAACTGTCATCTCTGACAAGTCCGAGTGTTCCCGCCTCTTCTTAATCAAAAATAGGCGCATCAAAGATCCTCTCAGATCATCAACTCGCGATTTGGGTGTCCGATTGTCACAAAAAAGCTTGCCTCCAACTCGATTTTGATAATGATAAGCTACTGAATAACTGACCTGGGCATCAGGACAAAAGATCAACAGAAAAAGTAAAATTCAACATGTCGCAGCTACACCCAAAACATACCAACCTTTTAAAATTAGTTCAAAACCGCGAATCGTTTCCTCCAACGTTACGAATTTTCCTTTGTGTCCGGTGAAAACTTCGGCAACTTGGAACGGCTGCGACAAAAACCGCTGGATCTTTCGTGCTCTCGATACAACCAGCTTATCCTCTTCCGAAAGCTCATCCATACCAAGAATGGCAATTATATCTTGTAATGATTTGTAGTCCTAAAAAAAAAGAAACAAAATTAGTCATCATATAAAATTGGAATTATGCCAAGAATACTTGGATCTGTTTCTAATTTAGGGTCTACTTCTCCACCAATACAGCTGCACTAAATGCTTTTACGTATGTTGCATCGTCCAGTTCGTTTGCTGTGACCCTAAATGTTCCTTCTGCCATCTTAAAAGACTACTTAGTCCAACGGCCCTACATGGGCACCTTTAATAACTAAAGCTTTATCAAAAACCACTTGATAAGATTTTAGACGTTTCAAGAGGCCCCCACACTGAAAATTACCACTTCATGCTGCAACTGAAGTTCGTGAAGAGAATATCTTTGAAATTATTACTGCTTCAGCGACAAAATGAAATGCCAAAAGTTACAGTATCTCACAAAAATATCTCAACAAAAACTCTTGGAAATGATATTTATCGGGGAATTACTATTGAAAACTGCTTAAAACCATAGCACCTCACCATACCTTGCTGCCGATGGAGAGGAAATGCAGCAACCACAGGCGGATCCAAGGCGGTCTCCTGGGAGGCGAAGGGGACAGGGGGTGGGGAGGGGGCAGGAGAGGAGCGATCTAGGCGATTTTTCGTCCCTCCCCTCCTCCATCCTGTCCGTCTCGACGTCGAAAGTTTCACCTCCCCCTCCCCCGATA